CTCTCTTCTCTCTCGTTCGCGGCTCTCGCTCGCCTCTCTCTCTTCTCTCTGCTCTCTTCTTCTCTCTCAGTACGCTTCTCCGATTCCGAGTCCGCTCTCTCTCTCTCTTTCTTTGTGCTCTCTCTGCTTGCTCGCTCTCCGCTCGCTCTCTCGCTCTCGTTCTCTCTCTTGCTTTCTGTCTGCTCTCTTCTCTCGTCTCTCCTCTCTCTGCCTCTCGTCTCTCTCTCTCTCTTCTCTCTCTCTCTCTCTCTCTCTCTCTCCTCTCTCTCTCTTCTCGCTCTCGCTCTCCTCTCTCTCTCTTTCCGTTTTTATCTCTCTCGAGAGAGAGAGAGAGAGAGAGAGAGAGAGAGACCCATCGATCTAAGTCCAATATAATATATGACTGTCTCACCACACGACAGGGCTGCCATTCCGACGACCTCCATGTTGGACTTTGCGTCTGCTAGCACCGGCAGCAGCAAGCTAAGCACGTCCTCACGGTCAGAGCCGGCGTAGGCGAGTCCGAGCCCGATGATCGCTCCAATGCGCATCACGTTGCTGTTGTGCAGCACGTAGTCGGATAGCAACGCAAGCGCTGGGTCGCACTCGTTGCGCACGCCCGAGTTAACAATGCCACATGCGAGCAGCGCACCCGACTTGATGTAATCCTCAGACGAGTACAGGTACTTGTCAATCTGCGTCAGCCCGCCGTCGACATCCCACAGCAGGATGAGCCCGAGTGACGCCGTTGCGCTCAGCATGCCATGGTCCTTGTTCTTGTACAGCCACTTGTTTCCATCCTCCATCAGTAGCTTGTCTGCGCCGAACGCGGCGTTCACGAAGCCGTTCACGAAGCTCGCGGCAAGGTTCTGCCGCGCCGAGTCAACATTCGAACCGCCGAACGACGGCCGAGTCGGCTCGAGGTGCGACTTGTAGATGTCCTCGGGGACCTTCGGCTCCATGATATCGAGCTCGCGTGCGAGCGCAAGGAAGTTGTTGTTGAGGTGCGCATTGGACATGATTTCGATCAGCTCATCGTACTCCTCCATCTCCTCGTCAAGTTCGAGGAAGATCTGCTGTCGGCCGAGCACAAACGCCATCTGCTTCTGCACGACGACGTCGCCGCACGAGCGGAAGATCTCCTCAACCAAGCGAACGTCGTTTAGCTGTATCGCGAGCCGCACCGCCTCCGGGTGCCGGCCGAACTTGCGGAAGATGGCTAGCGCGGTCTTGAGCAGCTGCGAATCCTCGGGCTCAGGCACATATGCGACGCAGCTCGTCAGGTAGAGGCAGACGCGCTGGAACGCCGTCTCGTCGACGGCGCCCTCTAGCAAGTCAAGACGCTCGATCTCCATGAGCAGGTCGCAGGCGTCCGTCTCTGCGTTGTGGTCCATGTCATAGGGCAGGATCTGTCGCACGAGAGCGAGCAGCATCGCCCGCTGCACCTCATCATCGTCGGACGTCTCACCCCAGTCCTGGCAGATCTCGCCGGACAGGTGTCGCACGTACTCGTGGCCCCACGAGCCGATATCCTCCTTCGAACCGAGGTGGCGGTACTTAAGGCAGTCACGCGCGTCGCTCATTGTCATGCCAAGCACAGAGATGATGTCGGCGCAGAATCGCTTCGTCTCGGGATCCTGGATCTTGTCATAGACCTGCTTCAGCGTGTCATAGTGTGGCCGCAGGAACTTTAACGGCTTTGGAACTGACGTCATCGAACTTGTGCTCGAGCGAATCTGCGCGCGCAGGCTCTCCAGCGCTGGCTTATAGAGGGCGCTGTCATTCTCGGTCAACCGCTCCACTAGCATCGTCAGCTCCTCCTGGAGCTGCTTATCTTCCTCTGACAGCTCAGCTTCCTTCTCCTCTTCATCTTTCTTAGCGCTAGGTTTACCATTCTCCAATTTCGGTTCTGCTGGTTTCGGCTTTGTCGGTTCTTCCCCGTCCTTTCCAGTCATGATTGTTTTTGATTTACACACCAGCTTGACCTTCTAATAAAAAAAAATATAATAAAAGAGTAAATGAATATATGTAGTCTACACCATCTTAAAATCAAAATGCATGAAACAGTTACCTTTAACATTTCAAATTGATTATTAACTGAAAATATGAATCACATCTTGAGGTTGCCTGACTCATTGAAGATTTAAAATTATTATCTTTTAAGTAAAACTAACTTTTTAGACAACTCAAGTCGTAAAAATTAACGGATATACCACTGATTAATCCAGAATAAAAATTACAAAAATTTTATCATGTTATTATAGGCTATAAAATATAGACTGAAAAGAAAATTTGTAGCTTCATGCTTAAGTACACGGCACCCAAACATAAGTTGCATCTGCTTTTGCGTGATAAGAAAACTGTTGCCTTTCGGTTGCACAAGAATTTATGCACAAATATAAAAACAAACACTTGCTAACCTTTACTCTTTATAACCATATACGCACTATGCTTAATTTAATAATTAAATGCGTTCATGAATAGATATATGTATATATATGTTAAACTATAAATGAAGGCACTGAGCATGTGCATTTGAAACGTAATGCACCAGACTGCAGTATCTGGCACTATCGCATGATAATCTTGAGAATTATGTGATATCAACATCGTGTCGAAGCTTGATTCAAAATTGTTATTGTGGCAGAGATTGGTCAACATGACAATGCACGAGTGTTCTTTGACATATTAACATTATAATATACATACACTTTTAATCATTGAGATTACATTTCAAGGTGGCACTAGATAAACATTACGATAACAAAAGTGGTCAACATAAATTGAAAACCTTTCTAATCCTTGTAGCACTTTTGGCAACTGTGGGGATGTCTTAGGCAGTGTATTAGAATGTTTCAATAACAAGAGCCGCAGAGCGTCTGGGCTCATCTGAGGTCTGTTGCTACGGTTATAAACGTAACATTTAAGTCGGTTGTAGTGACACGTTTGTTAGGCGCAGATATGCAGATACGCAGTTGCGTACACATCATTTCAGCAACCTTCTGCATTCTGCATACCTCCCAACTCCCATTGGTTGATACAAATCGTGTGCCTGAAACTCCTGTTTTATGGTGCATTGTGACCCTAACCCTAACCCTATTAAAAAATGAAAAAATTAAATTGTTGTAAATAAATCATGTCAATATTTGCATTAATTGGGAAAAAATAGTTAAATGGATAAAGATAGAAAAATACAGAAAACAGGTA